CTGTGATTCTGTGATTCTGTGATTATTAAGTTTCACCACTCAAAAAGAAGCCTGAGAACAATGATGAAACCTTCAAAATGACTGAATAGAAAGGCATGAAAGCATGAAGGCAAAAAGGGACCGACATACTTAGCAGCCATTAAAACAGCTTTACCAAGACTTCTAGAGAATACTGAGGGGAGCAACATAAAAAAGACATAGATTTAGTCCTACTGAATTATAGAAATTATACACCAGGGAAATACCGGGTTGGAAAAGCCACAGAGGCAAGCTGGAAAGAACTTGGAAAGTTCTACCCTTGATGAAATGTCCTTCACTGACCACAGACCAGGAAAAGTTTGCTGAAAAAATCCAGTGGAAGAAAACCAGCAGTGAGGGAATGCATCAGTGCACCATGCCTGTCATAAGGGAAACCTGGGATATTTCTAAAGCTAGGTTGTGAACTCAGCACCTTGAGTAGATGTTATCTGTTGTGATACAGAACACCTTGGTATTCAAGCCTATGGCTATAAATGATGCAAAATATCCCTATAAATTTTGAAAGATATTTAATAATTCATGACAACACCTCAACCTTAATACCAGAAAAACATCCATTTCTAAAAGTCAGAAAATGTCACAACTAAAAATAAAATCTAAATTATTAGTTAAAAAAACAATGTTCAGAGACTGAAGGAGACTGAGCACTTCCATTTGAAGACAATGTTGTAGTAGGCACTATTCAGTTTCTATTTAGCACATATTCAGTGTAGTGGTAATAAAAATATTTTCATGCTCACACTTACCAACAATTTCACTCGGCTCCTTATTGTAAAGTTTTTTGTTCCAGTAAAGAAGTCTGAGAAAAGGGAAGGAGACCAAAACAACAAGGCAGATGCCAACAAACATATGCCCTGTGAAGGCTGCAAAATCCAATCCCTGAAAATAAAAATGAAAACTTAAATTAAAAATCAGTTGTTTTCCTCTATTACCTACAGGGAAAAGTATTCAGCTATATATACTTTACTAATCAATAATAAATATAAAGCAATAAAGTTACCAGTACAGTATATGCTGTATTTCATCTGTGTCAAGGAGATGAGCCACACTACAATTTAATTCAGAGAACTAAAAAAAACCATTATGAGTTATTCTGAAATACGTTTAGTGTTCCTGGCATGGGTAGGAAAAAAAAACCCAAACTGAATCATTAACTTTCACTTTCATCACTTAAATCATTGTAACTTAATTTTAAATCATACCGAATCACAGATATAGTTAAATTTTAATGACCAGCTTTTGTTTTAAACTGATGACAACATGGATTTTTACAATAATTCTATCTGAACCAGGATTTAATCTAAATTCACAAATATTCTTCTACAGTAAAAATATTACATGTCAATATTCTGTTTATTTTTCTGCCTGCTTAATAAATGGACACATTTCTTTACATTTTGCATAATGAAACCCTTTAATGAAGGGGTTCTCAAAAAGTTTAGGCAGAATATATTTAAAATATACTGTTTTAAACAATAATGATGAATAGTTACAACCCACCCTAAAACTTTGAAATTAGCCATGCTTTGAGTAGGACATTGGACTAGGTGATCTCCAGGGCCCCTTTCAACTGAATAATTTCATGATTCTATATTACACACACTGCAGTGGATCAGGGTTAGCCTTTGGGCTGGGATTTTCTGAAGTTGTCATGACTAGCTGAGGTTGTCCATGAGGCTCCAAGGGGGATCACATCCAAGTACTCTGGTAGCAAGGAACTGTCTTATATTGACAGAGTGGAGGTTGTCTGAACTGATGATCGCAGCAGAGCAGCGCTGTGGAGAAAGTATGGTCCAAACCCTGGACAGTTCAGGTTGTCCAAACTGAATTTTCAGAGCATATACTTATTTTCCAGAGACTCTACAAAGTCATGGGATCTCCCTGTGCCACACCTCTATGTCTCTACAAAGATGATAGTGAGTTGCCATTTACCAAATACCTGTTCGCTACCTATAGACACTTCTGTAATGCCAAGACAAATTAAAAACAGCTATATTGTCTCCAACTAAAAGAATTTATGTGGAAATGACCCAGTGAAAATGTTTCCGGTTCAAAAAAGGATAAAAAAGTTTCCCCATTACACACAGGGCATAACAAAAAATACACAACACAAGAAGATGATTGAAGTCTTCAAGAACTTTTGCAGCCAATAAAGATTAGTGGTCTTTTGCAAAAAATCCATAGTCTGCAGAGAGTTAAATAAATCTCAAACATAAATATGCACACCGAGGATTAGAATCTGATTCTATGAAAAATATAGGTTTCAGCTTCATGAGCTATAGAAAACCATCCCTAGTTGCTATTTAATAGTAGATTCCTTGCATCTTCTACTCTCCAGCCACTAAAATGTGAAACTGTATACTTGCTCATTTGCTGGTCTTTCATTATTACTCAGCTATTGCTATTTCTTTTGTGAAAGTAGAAAGAAGACTCTTCAGGAATTGGAATAAGACTATTTCAAGAATCGGATATAAAAACCGAGTGACATGACACCACAAAGGAAAATAATATACCTTCATTCAGTTTGCCTGCATAATAGGTCAGCCAGACAAATGTCTGACAGCTCTGCAAGACCAACTTTACAAGTCAATTTTTATAAATACTTAGAAAGATTGGCCTTTGGGCATCAAGTCAAGATTCAGAGCTACAGGAGACATTTCTGTGAAGGATGAAATCAACATTCATAACTCTAGAAAATTTACAAATATCAATGAGAAAAAAAATAATTTAAATTCTGCAAAGGCTTAATGTTTGTAAGACTGCCCCCAAGGTATATAAAGCCCATATCCCTCATGTACATTTCCTTAATTACAGCCATTTAAAACTGAAAAGAAATCTAATTTATATATGTGTTGCCTCTAAGATTATAGCCAAAAAAAAAATCAGACAATTTTGGCCAATAAAATCAGAATCCTTAAAAGCATGGTGAACTGGCCTTGGTTTGGAAATTGCTCAATTTATTGACAATGTGCTATTAAACAGTTCAGGAAGTATGGAAAATAAGTATTCAGTTTTGTATGGTCTTTAAAATGAGGTAAGGAGCAGTAGGAAGCTGAACAGAATTAAGCTGTAAAAACACCGAAGCTACAGCAGCTAAAATAGCAGTGCCTAAATATGACTGGAAAAAAAGTTATCCTCTGAAAAATGAAATGACTGGGAAATAGCTAGTTGAGGAGCAATAAAGTAGTTAGACATGGTCAGAATATACTCAACACAGAAATATCAGAAGCAGGAAAATTACTTTTGTATTCAACCTAGTCTTAAAAAGAGCAGTGGGCATGAAGCTTTTCTCAGGCTGGCAGCAATGTGCCCACATCATGAAGAAGCATGCCAGCTACCAGTAGAATATGCCAGCAGAAATTCTCTGCAGAGATACTCAGGCATAAAGTTAATTGCTAATGTAATAATAAAAAAGAGAAACAGGAACCCAAAGAATCCTTGGAAACTCGCAACTTTAAGTATGCGATGTCTCCATCATGTTAAGGAAACTTGAATTTTAGGAAGTGGCTTATTGCAAACAAGTGCAAAGATTTACAAAGTCACTTGCTTCTACATTTTGAATATATCACCAATTTCAGGACAAAACAATTGTGCTTTGTTACTGAAATGCCACAATGCAGAAACTTCTCAAACAAAAAATACAGCAAGTGTGCCCCTTGAAACCCACAAAACTAATTTCTCTGTGAAAAGGAAAATCACATCAACCTAGAAGGCACACTAAAATGCTGAGTTTAAGAAGGAGATCTCAGATATGACTGATAGCTGAAAGGAATTTTAATGAAATTGAGGTCACAATAATCTTTTTTTTTTAAATCAAGATTTACACAGCTTTATGACATAAGAGCTGGCATAGATAAGGCCTAAAAGTGATTTGGAGACACAATCACAAGGAAAAAAAAATTGTTTACTAGATTTTTTGTCATCCTGTCCAGGAGCTTACCCAAACTTTTCAAAGAGTAGCTGGGCTGAGATTCAGGATTTTGTTAAACTTCATAATATCACCCTATTGATCTTTCTTATCTCTGAGATCCCTGCGGCAAAAGAAACCATGCTGCTCTGCTGCGACTGCAGAACAGCTTTCCGATTCAGCTAAAACAAGCCATTTTCTAACACGGAGCGTGCTTATCTCAGATAAGAGCTTGCACGACAGGATTGCCTGTGATAGTGCAAGGATGGATTCAATTCTCTTCCCGTCCCTTGCTCCTGGCTTTCTTTCTTCCCTGTTTCCTCCCTGCAACAAGGCACAGGAACCAGCATGTAAAAGTGAAACCTGATGATCGCTAGCCTTGGACAACTTGGACCATCTAGCCATGAGGAGGCTGAGGACTACCAAGTGCACTCCTTTTTATGCCTGATGTTAGAAGGGCTCATGGTGAAAAACAGACCACTGCCCTCCCGGATGCTTTGGGCTGGGTCCTTAGCACCAGCCTCTCTGCAGCACACAGAATATGCTTTCAGGGAGGGAGAAGGCAGATTTCACACCAGTTATTGTCAGGTAACTAGCAGTCAACTGGCAGCCTCTGGAGAGCTTTAAGAAACTAAAGGGTTTACATTTTACTACAGATACAAATGATGCAGCAGAGGATACCAAGATGGTGGCACAGTTACTTCACCAGTTGCTCCTGCTCCCTTTCTCACACCCTAGAAAGGGGTTACAACATCTCCACAGAGCCTACATTCATACCCTTTGTGGCTGTGGATAACACATTTTATCCCTCCTGAGTCCTCTGCACTGCTGGGGCCAGGGTTCAGCATTGTAAAAAAACACTGAAGGGCTCCACATGTCTGCTGCATACAACAAAATGTCATTTTCATAAAGATTTTCTTTTTCTTGCGCAACAGACTGAAATAGAATTGACATGCACAATAGGCAAGAAATAGTTTTCTTCCAGGAGATTTCAATCCATCAGATAAATATAATACATGCTTCAATGTCCCTTACTTGAGGCTATGCTGATTGTGTTAAATTTCACCCGTTCCCCAGTCAACAGAAAATATAAAGATTTTGTTTTGTTTAGCAGAGAACCTAAAGGTTCCACTGCTTACAGATTCAGAGCTGAAACAGAGTGGGCATCTTTCCCTGGTTTATATTTTTAAATGCAAAGTCAAATTTCATGTTAGGAAGAAGTATCAAACTGTTTTCCTAAAATACTAACTTTCTGTCACCTTGACTATTTATTTTATTGCTTTTGCAGGTGTGAAATTAAATTCTAGTCATTCAATCCTTTCGAGAAGAAATCTGCCATTTTAGAGCAAAGAGAAAGCAAAAATTATAGCTAGGTGCAGCAATTCAGACAGCAGCAAATAATACTGTGCTTCTAACCAAAATGCCCTTTACTTAATATTTTAAAAGTAATAAAATGAGGACGAGCAAGAGTAATTTATTATTTCTACACTGGTTTAAACATCTCTTCTTGTCTCAGGGGCAACTGCTCATGACATCGCTGAGCGAGAAATCACTGATAGCCTAACACAGTTACATGAAGAAAATGCTTATCTGAGAATGGCAAACCTGGCAAACCTCCTTTTTGTCTTGCACTATACTCTTTAATGATTACTACATGCAGAGAGAGGAAAAAATCTGAAATCAGCCATAAACCCATAAATTTTATTTCATATACCTTACCTAGGATTTCATTTTTTCCTGAGAAAAGGAATCAATGAAACATCAACAGAAATAGTAGGAGTTCTACAAATTGATTAAAAGTTTAAACAAGCTTGTATCCAAAAAACTGAAAAAAATAACCTAGTAATCTATGGGAATCCATTTCACAATCTGCCAGTGCTTGAAATACCTTTATAGATTCATATATAGGAGTTTCTCTCTTCTATTTTTCCGAATTATCTGCTTTTATCCATAAATTTTTGGTACCACAATTTTTCATGAGCTATAATCAACTAATATTGCATAATGCTATATTTCAGCATGAAGGCTGAATGTCTCCAAAAGGCAGAACAGGAGAACCTGATGGCTGTCCATGTTCCAGGGAATTCTTGTTAAATGGCAGGCATAACTCTGAAACCCCAAAATCCTCAGCAAACATCTGATTAACAGTACAAGCTTTATCACATGCTACGAAAGACAGTAAACAGGAGAATATAATCCAGTGGCTAGCATATGCTAAAACTGCCTTTGCTCTTATCATCACCTCTTTTAGGCAGATTAAAGCAATGACCATTTTGAACCAGTTCATGCCCTATTGTGCATATAAAAATGGAGTTCCCAAAGTCTGAAGCACATATCTTTTCAAGATAAAAACATAGTTTTGCTAGCAATGGCCACTCACTAGCAGTACTCTGAAGGTAATGAAAACTTTTAAACAAAGTTTTGTATTCACTGAATGAGTTTTCCATTTACCCTTAATGAAAACTCTTACCTTCTTTCCC